GCAAAACGTTTACAGATATTTGTTGTCTGATTCTTGCAGTAAAGACCAAGGAAACTGACCCCAGTAGTATTTATTGTACTTTACTTTGCAAAAATGCTGCGTGCACAAACGTAGTTTCTGGAAAAGCGGTACAAAACAAACTTAAAGCTGACTACAAACAAGCATACACATGCACCCACTACACTTCTCTAACACATGCAGTGGTTCCTATAGGAAGATACACTAAAGTTACTTGGCTTCCAGTTGCAAATTCCGCATTTGAACAGGACTTCGTGGCAATTATTTCTTCACAGGAAAAATTGATTCTGGTGCAGTCTCTATCAAAGTCCTTTGTTTCACTAACATCCTCCTTGGTCAAAATGCCATCAAAGTCCTCTTTGAAGTCCCAAATTCACTTTGGGCTGCTGGCTTTTTATTCAGAAAAGTTGGTAGCCTACCTGTGGGTGTTACCCCTTAACACTTGCATTAAAACCTATGCCAGTAGTATTGCATTTTTCAACACTAGATGGCAGCACAGTACCATATATGGCATTAACAACCAGTCAGGTGCCATCAAGTCTGACTAAATCTTGACCAGCCTAGGTGTGCTGTTTACATAAAGTTTCGACAGAACAATATCCCATTGTGATTAAGCTAAATACGAATAGAGGGCAGCTATACCATTTTTGGAAAACCAGTTTGGCCTGTTTAGAAGATACTCTACCCATTTTGCCCATTGTGAGAAACCAGCCTACTGTCAATAGTTGTTAAGCTTAACAATGCACTTGCTGAGCTAAGCAGACCAACCGTCTTTTTGCAAATTTACTGTGTGTGTGCCTGAAAAAATCAAATATATATATATACACATGGTGAAGGATTGGCAGGAGGTTCTTCTATTAAGATTTACACACACACACAATCTTAATAGAAGAACCTCCTGCCAGGCCTTCACCATACTTCCCAACTGTCCCTAATTTGGAACCAAATCCCTCTGTCCCTCTTCAGTTGTTCCTCTTTTTGGACAGATGTCTAGACCTCTATAATAAATGCAGTACTTAACTAACAAAAGTGTTACACTACACACACCTTTTTATTATCACATTAATATTATTTAAAAAGCCAGTATAAAGGAAACAAAGTGATGAAACAAGCACTTGTGGGTTTAGCCAATAATTCTTTGCTTATTAATTCTTAATTTATAATTCTTCATTGTCCACGTAACAATGGCAGGGGGTGTGTCCTTTGCCTACACACTTTGTGCTAAAGGGTGTCCCTCTTTTCCATCTCATAGTGTTGGGAGGCATGCTTTTCTAGGACCAGTCTCTTTCCTAAGCAAATATAATAAAGACAGAAAGACATTTAAAGTAATATTGTCCCTTTGAGAATTATCTACTTATACAGTCAGTTCAGACCTATCTACCTTATTTTACAATGACCATAGACCTTCACCATTTCTATTTGCCAATGTTCACATATTTTTGAAAATTCTTCTAACTGTGAAATAATAAAAAAAAGTGATGCAACAGGAAATTAGAGAAAATCTCTAAACGCAATTCCCATCTTAGAGAGTTGTCATAGGAAGAAGTGTCCCCATTGGAAGATGTTCCCACATCTTTTGCTCTGGTTCCCCTTACAAACAATTCTTAGTACCAATGGTCACCAAAGCAATTTAAATGTTGAGTCTTACTAGTGAAGACTCATACAGTAATATAATTTGACAAATAGTCTAAGCGTTTCCTATTATCTCCATTTATCAGTTAGATCAGTGGTAGGCAACCTCAGCACTCCAACTGTTCTAAAAACTACAAATTCCATGAGGCTTTACAAGACTCTGACAGCCACAGACATGACTCCCAGAGGCAGAGAGAGGCATAATAGGATTTTTAGTTTTACCACAGATGGCGTGCTGAGGTCGCCTACCCCTGAGCTTGATTAATAATTAATATAAAATAATTTAAATCAATTGTGAGGATTAGCTCCAAATGGTAGCACATTAAGGACACCGCCACCCGCTTTTCACTTCTTAAGGCCTTCTTTGACCACGTTTATTAACACACAACTCAAAAGAAAAGTCCACACAGGTGTTCCTTCGCAGGGGTTTTCAAACATAAAGTACCATTTTCTTATCAAACAAGCATGTTTCAGTCTCACCAACTTCAGGTGGTTCCATTACCTCAAAACTTCTGGATACACAGGCTGTATTCAAAGGCCTGACCACACAGGCTTGTCTTTTGCCACACAGGCTCCTTTTCACCATACAGGTGAACTGCTCCCCAGTCTGCCAGACTGGTTCCAGGATGGAGCAATCCTGACTCCTGCAGAGACCTCCTCTGTCACCCAGGTGGACCCACTCACTTAGCAACCTGGGATATCTTCTGGAGGCCCTAATGAGCCAGCTTCCTTCAGTTGGGCAGGTTACCTCTAGGCCTCCAGCACTCTCAACACTTCCTCCTAGAGTAAGAACCTAAGCACTACACCTATAACTGGGCCCTACAAATCTGCCATCCTGGCTATACTCAGATATCCTCATTTGCCTGCTGCCACACAATATAAAACCATACAATTTATTCATGTCTCTCATGCAGATAGGACTTATGTCAAGCATCCATTCTTTACCATTTCATATGCCAACACTCCTAAGGCCTGCCTGATTTGAAATGTAATCTTATCGCAGGGGATGGTGGTAATTAGATGTAAATAAGGATGACTGATAACTGCAGATATGAATTGTTCTTGGAATATGTGAAGAAATTGAAGGTTTGAACCTTACCATGGCTTTTTTCTGATGGAAAAAACTGAGCTCTGTGTAAATAACAGTAACACAGGAGATAACCTTTGTTGTAATGACATCCTTTTTTCCCGGAGAATCATATTTACCTAAATTGTAAAAGGTATATATGTTAGTAGTTCATGCACATTTCTAACCTCGTGTGTAATATACTGTTTTTAAAAGGTTAGGAATGCTTGCTTTCCTAATATACCTGGGGCCAGCCAGGGGTAACCGGTCAATGATCTGCTGCATAGTTATTATCATGGCATTGTGACCTGTGATCTGGAAGAGCCATTGGATGAACTCATTATGTGGTGATGCACATTTATGTATGTTTAACTGATAAACTGATATTTTAAGTATTCTAAACTTTCTTTAGTAGACGTCAATCAAAACTAAGAGTTAAAGTATATCTAAACCCTAAGACAGCATTTCTCAGCCTGTTTAGACATTGCACCCTTTAAAAGTATGCAAAACTTTAAGATACCCCAATCTGAAATCTAATGGATTTTAAGGAGGAATTCCCTTCACAACAGAGCCCTTACCTTCACATTGGAGTCCCCCACTTTCACATCGAAGTTCTACCATGACATCAGGAGCTGCTGCTTCTTTTCCCACTGCTCCGTGGATTAGAATAATGTATTTCCCACAGTATCATGTCTTTCCAAGTTGACTGCCAACACCATGGAAAGGCATGATGCTGTTGGAAAATTTTGATGCACCCCCGAGGAAGCCAGAAGGCACTCCAGGGTGTCATGGCACCCTGGTTGAGAAAGGTTGCCCTAAGATGATATTTAAACTGTATCTAAACCCAATAGCAAAAAATTAATAAATTGCAGCTTACTAGTCCTTAGATGTGGTAACTGCATTAGTTTGCCCAGAGAGAGGCCACAGGAATGAAGCCTGGGACCAGAGGATATGATCCTCTGTGCAGACTGTGTACCTAGAGGATAAGTGGGCTGAAATAATACATGCTTTAGTTAGAGAGCTGGAATAAAGTTACAGATGAACCACCTGTTATGTGGCTGCATTGCTGCAGTAGATGCTGTAGCTTCTGGAGGATGAGACCCACTCAGCATCTGCTAACTAGAGGAGCTGTAGGGAGCCCGCTCGAGCTTAAGTATTCCACTGCCCACTGTCCTTTAACTAAGGTTGCATACATCTACATGAGTGGACTTGCATTCATTTTCAAGAAGTAAGTTAGATACCTGGGGACAAATACTCCTAGAAGGAGGCCCCAACTAAAACTTCAAGGTAGAGGTACTAAAGAATCAAGGACTAATAAACATTACACCATTTCCCATATATCCAAGGATCATAATCTCAAAGTTACCCTGGTGCCGCAGTGGAGTGGATGTAAGGCTGCCAGGAGATGGTCATCTCACATGACCCCCCACCTTGCTAAACACCTTTACAGACAATTGATGAGTTTACCATGGCAATCCCCTCTAGCTGTGCAGCCACCTGCCCTCTAAAGCTAATGCTAAAATCTGAAATTCTGCTTCCTTGAAAGTAGCAGTCACCAAGCACTGACATCATAACTGTATCCTGTGTATACCCACTGTATAAAATACAGTCCTCCAGGTCACAGAAGTAGAAGCCGATAGCTAGGTCCTTGTGAGAGCAGGCATTTTTGAGTCAGGGTGGGGGCTGATGCCACCCCACCAGAGTGTCAAGCGAATTCTGACACTAGAAAGATGCTGAGGAAGCAGCAGAGACTGGGAATTTGGTACCTGGTGGCATCAGTACAAAAATGTGGGAGAAAAATTCAATGCAATGTTTTATATTGCCTTCATCACTATCTATGGAATGTATGTGTGTTAAATTTTCATAAGGGCGAACTTGAACTCGTGAGTTTAGTTCTGATTTAACATGTTAAAGATTATAGGAGGTTTTAGTGATTGTATTTACATATGTCCGTGCTGTAAAAGGGCCAAACCACACTGATCATCTTGTCACTGGCAGCAACTCACCTGCAACAAGATTGCTATAGAACAGCACTCACCTGATTCTATGATGTTGTACCCTAATTGGTCTGCAGAACCTTGTTTGCCAGTGAGAAAGGAGCATCAGAGCGACACCTTGCTGGATCAGTCATAAATGAATTGATACAGACACATTTATCAATAAAATGTGATTTAATACAAGAATGTGTATTAAAATATTGCAAAATTACATCAAAACAAAGATAGATTTGAGGTCCTCTGTAGTCATCATCATTATGTTTAGTGAAACGGATGCAATTGGGTGTTTAATAGGGGACGAATGACATCTGAAACCTGGGAGCCATTTTTCCAATTCCGCTGTATTCTGGCGAGAGATCAATTTCATTAGGAGGTTTATCAGAGCGGATGTCGAATTTCTGAAGGATGGATGTGAGGTAGAGGAAAAGCTCCATACGTGCCAGGCCTTCTCCAGGACAAGCCCTCTTTCCTAAACAAAGATGATAAAGACAGTAAAAGTTATATGTTTGCCTTGTATGCAATCATTTCTACTTGCCATTGTTGGCCTCCTTTTGAAAATGCTAGTCCCCTCGTTGATATGAAATCTTCTAACTGTGAACGAAAAGTGTATGAAAAGCTATTTTTTGTAGCTGTAGATAAAATAAGGAATAATAAAAACCCCTATCAGGTTACTTTTTGTTGCTGGGGAAATTTCCCTTTACCTCCTGTCCTGAAGATACAACAGGAAATAAGAGAACCTCTCTTATTCCCATCATAGAGAGTTGTCGCAGGAAGAGGTGCCCCCATTGGATTTTCCTTCATCTCTTGCTGTTGTGACAACTAAACATTTTGGGATTTTCCCTCAAAATCTGTCTCAGAACCAATGGTCACCATGGTGAATCTCCATTGTGAAGTCTCAGACAGCAATAGCATTTGACAAATGATCTTACTACTGTTCCTCCATAGATACCCTACTTTATCCAAAACAAAAAATTTACCTTCACACACACTTTAAATAAATTCCACACCAGCTTCCATTGCTCTCTCTAGCAGCTAGACCAAATGTAGGCAACCTCGGTACTCCAGCTGTTGTGAAACTACAAATGCCATGAGACTTTGCCAACAACCGGCATGTCAGGTATAAGCACAATTAGTAGGGATGCACCGATACCGGTATTTTGGTACCCATAATTTTTTTTCGATACTCGCCGATACCAATTACAGAGTAAAGGAAGTCCCATTCAGGAAGTAATGACTCGCCACCTGGCTTCCTGATAAGTCGGGAAGGCGTGCAGCGTGTAAAGACTCGCCACCCAGCTTCCCGATTAACAAGAAAGTCTCTCCCCTCTTACCTTAGTATGTCCAGCCTGTCACCCCCGGGGCCAATCAGGAAGCCGGGCGCCGTGTAATGACGTGACGCCCTGCTTTCTGATTGGCCGGGAGGCCGGCTCCATGCTCCCTCATCATGAGATGACGAGGGAGCATGAAGCCAGCTTCCCGGCCAATCAGAATGCCGGGTGCTGCGTCATTACACGGCGCCCGGCTTCCTGGTTGGCCAGCCTCCCGACCAATCAGGAAGCCCGGCAGCGCGTCATTACATTACAGCCGGCTCCATGCAAGTGACGAGAGAGCATGGAGCCGCTTCCCGGCCAATCAGGTACCAGCGCAGCATGTAATGACGCGCTGCCCGGCTTCCTGATACAGAAAGTATCGGGCTAGGCATTGGAGCATTTGGGCGAGTACGAGTACTCGCCCAAATACTTGGTATCGGCACCGATATCAATACTAGTATCGGTGCATCCCTAACAGTTAGCCTCACAAATCACTCTCTCCGGTGTGCATAATGACGTTATCCTGTGCACTCAGTAATTGTTGTCATCCAGGACTTTTTCAGTACTCAATTTTATAATAATTTTATATAATTTTTAATCATTCATGAATGCACTGTGAGTGTATTAATGGAGTGTATGTATGCTAGTGTTGTATACTAATATAGTTTAATGTTTAATCCTCTGTCTATAACACTTTCTGGAACATTAACACGAGTGCAGATCAGGATGCTGACTACACTGTGACCTCATTTGCTCCATCCTCTTTCCTCCAAAACATTTCAAATTCCAAATGGGAGGCAAATAAAGGGGGACCTTCCATAAGGTTTGTTTGCTGTCCTTGTCTAACCTTCTTTAACAATACCGTGACCTGAAGTATTTTGCACTATCCAACTTGCTAGTGATATCATTAAATAGTAATCCCACTTGATTGCCTTTTTTAGCTCTAGAAAAAAACAGGCAAATCATGAGCTCACCTATGGAAGGTTTCTTAACTTTCTGGTCTGCTTCCCATGTGATGTGTGAGGTCAACCTTCTACTTCCTCTCCAGCCCTAGTAAAACAGATCCCTGTGTGTCTGCAAATAGACTTCGGAGGCAGAGATGGATAAGGAAACCAGGAGGCTGGCCCTCCCTTTGCAGTCTAAAGCTGGCCATACCCCTATAGATTTTGTGCAGATTTTCTATGATCAGATGGAAAAAGTGGAACAGATTCCTCCATCTACGCTAAACTGTATGGCCCCGCTGGCTCTCAAGATGACTGAACAATGCCGCATCCAATCAGATTGTTCAGGTATTTTTGAGAGCCAGCGGGGCCGACTAGCAAGATACTGAAGCTTGGCCCAGTGGGAGATTCCTCCATCCACACAGTTTAGCGTAGATGGAGGAATCTGCAGATTTTCTATGGTCAGATTGTAAAAGTGCAACAATCTATAGGTCTGTGGCCAGCTTTGCAGCTAAATACACAATAGTAAATAGATATATGTTTTCAATTTTTACCAAATAATTTGTATTGCCCTGCCACACTGCATGACCCTGTCTGGAAGGGGAGGAGACCTGATTTATCTCTACTGTAATTAAACTTAAGCCAAACCTTTTTTTTGGCTTTAGCTCCCTTTTGGGTCAAAAGAGTACATTTACTAATGTACTCCTGTGACTCAAAGTCAGCATCTAGAGGGTAATGTCTGCAGACAATGCAGAGCTGTGCTGCAGCCGGAAAAGATCCACCCCACTGCTTGATTGACAGCTGTCTCTACCTTTCTAGAGCCAGAGCCAACTATGCCCGCCCCCTCCCTTATCTGTTCCTCCAATGAGTGCTGGAGGAACAGAGAGGGGAGGGAGGAATTCCTGCGCAGAGTGATGACTGACAGTCACCCCTTACCTGTAGAGAGAAGAAAATAAGCTGAATGACTAGCGGCTTGTGATCGCTCAGCTCTCAAGGTACAGAGCCAGTATGTGACGCCTGCAAGGTCATACCACAGCTCTATGTATTGAGAAGAGTAAATTTTCTGCTGCCGATACTTCACCTTTATGTCACAATTCCAGGTCTTGTCATTCCCCAGCCTGTGACTGGACAGTGAAAAAAGAAGCAACAGACTAGTGAACCTAACTCTTTGTCACTATGATCTCTCCTCTTATCAGCATGTTTCTTTTTATTGCACTCTACTTCAGCACAACTGATTGGCTCCTTGTGCTGCTTTTGTCTCCAAAATATATTCCTGCATACTACAAAAGGCAGACTGGGGCACTAACACATTTGGAAGCTGCATTAACCTGGAAAAGGAACATTTTTATAGCTAGTTAGTTTTATTTGGTCTTAATGCAAAACCCTCTTTATAGGGATCTTATATACACAAAAGCTGTTGCTATTATTTACAAACCCTTGAAGAGCAAAATAGTGCAAAGTCCACTATACTTTTATGAACAACTAAGTGCTACATTTCACTTTACAGTGCAATTTGGGCTTTAACATTTCACCCAATATTCACTTTTAGATCAAATATATATAGAGCTGAAAAATATTCACCTCTAAATGATACGGAAGATAACAGGAAGGTACACCTTGTCCTGAATGGGATGGCACGACTGCCCTGAATGCTTAGACTGTGCGTCATTCAGTTTATTTGCATCCCTGACCTAACATAACAACGAGCGCTGGATTTGGAGTGCCAATATTGCAATCACTTTCCTAATATATACGTGAATCCACCAAGACACCCAGGTTACTGACCTGCAATACCTAACCTTTGCAACCTTCCTCTCCTGGTGACATCTGAGGGTCTGGCTCATGGTTATAACAGAACTAAGGCATATTGGAGAAGTACATGGGGCTTTAAACTCAAACAAAAGGTGGGTTTTTATTAAAGTCTCTGTGTCACACCCTGTAAAGGAGAGTATAGCTGACCATACATTGCTGTAACTCGTCCAGAATGTGAGCCATGGGTGGCTCTGTTGACTATGCTCAACAAACTTTGATTAAAAGAATGAAGGAGCTGGGGAAAAAAATGGTCGGCCAAACAGTGACTTCTGCCATTCAGCTACAGCCACCATATGGGTATTTATCCAGCTGCGCTCCCACAGCTGCTTAAAGGAGAACTATGAGGTGAGTGCTTTTCACTCACCTCATAGTTCTAGCCGACCTGTGACAATGAGACTGTCACAGGTCGGCTCAGTAGATCGGGAGGTGAGTGAACACATACCGGCGTTCGCTCACCTCTCGATCCTGTCACGGCTCTCTGCCGTGACAGGGGAGGGGCTGGATTCCCCCCTCCCCGCTCCGACCCGCCAGCGCTGACTGGTGGATCGGACGGGGGAGGGGGCGGGTACAGCTGGCTCTGCCTCTAGATAGGCAGAGCCAGCTGTCAGTCACGCAGCTGGGCGGATCCCGGCACAATTGTCGGGATCCGCTTCAGCTGCGGCGTCTCAGTATACCGCGAGCTACAGCTCGCGGTATACTGAGCCTAGGGTGACAGGAGGACGCTAGTTTGTGTCCTCCTGTTACCCTAAGGAGAACTATGGGGAAAAGACATAACCCCATAGTTCTCTTTTAAATACTAGTTGGCAGGGAAGATTCCTCAATACACTCTGGTTGGTGTGCATGGGGAGATTTGGGGTTTTTCTCTCATTAGTGCGGCTTACACATCCTTTGCAGAAGACGTGTATCCAAACCTCTGTCATTGTCCTTAGCAGTGGGGCTACCCTGGCGCTGCAACGGTTACATGCTCATTTTGTGTAGGGAGTTAAAACAACAAAGCTATGGTCACCCAAAACTCAGACCTAGACCCGGCCTCTGCAGCCTGTCTCCCCTCTGCTCCGTGCGTAATGTTCCTTGGTGTCTTCACATCCAGTACACTGTGAAAGTGTGAAATGGGGGCTAAGCTGTTGTAGTGGGTGCAACAAGCTGCATCACTATATCACACATGTGGGAATGTGTATGACTGGTCATGCCTACTACCATGGGTGACACATTACATATCTCATACAGTTCTATAAAATATTTTACCTGCAGAGAATGCCATAAAGGCTTCATTTTTCTTGAACAATCCTTTCTGGTCTAGAAAATGTTCAGGATAAAACTCCTGGGGCCTTTCAAAGAAGGAGGCATCGTACAGCACAGAGTGCAGAACAGAGAAGATGATGGTACCCTGCACAAAGCAGAAAGTAGATAGATTGAAGAAATTATGTCTGAACAGCCAGCAATATATTCTGTTGGTTGGGAGTTTGTGTGTACCTTGGGCAGATTGTATCCTCTGAAGACAGTATCCTCCGTCACAGAATGAGGGGCTCCAAGTGGTAAGAAGTCAATAAAACGCATGACCTCGTGCATTACAGCATCAGTGTATGGCATCTTGGTACGGTCCTCCATACAAGGTCTACGGGTTTGGCCAATGACTTTCTCTATCTCTGCCCGGACCTTTTCTGGTAAGATACAAAAAAAAAATGCCATGTTCAAAGATTGGTGCAATGAACCTCTAGGTTTTCCATTTAGAAAATCAAACAAAAACTACATTTTATTTAAAGCTGATTTTTATCTTTAAATTTCCATAATCGTTTCTCATTTTATTCTCTTCTAAGGTGTCCAGTGATTCTAGTTTTACAAGAGGTGAGCCTAAAGTAGATCTGAAGTCAAAACCTTTATTTGTTTTGGATAGAGTGAAGGAGGGTTATAATCCAGTGACGTGCGGTCCCTCTTGATCGGGGTGAGGCATTCCCAAGCCCCGCCCCCGCCGCCCGAAGCTCCACCTCCTGCCGACCGAAGCCCCACCCCCTGCTGGACAAAGCCCCTTCCCCAACCTAGTGTAAAGGAGGAAGGTAGGAGACAGGGAGGAGCCTCCCTGTCCCTCACTTGCCCCTCACTGCTGAGGCTCTGTGACAGGTTACACAGCAGGGAGGATTTCCCTTATGTGTAACCTGTATGATGCCGATCTGAATGGAGGAAAATCTGTCAGCTTCAGACATGAAGCTGACAGCTTTTTTCTCCATAATTCTAGGTGAGGCTCCGCCCCACCTGCCTCCCCTGACTGCACGTCCCTTTGATAATCCCTTACAGCTCCTTTTGCCATCTGTGTCACATTGGGACTGATAGCTAGAACAGGAAGTGAGAGGAAATCCATCCAAAGAGAGGGAAATCCCTGGTTGTCAGCAGGGTCACCAGAACTAGTGTCCCCATGGGAAGATCTCCCATCTATTCCGGTTTTGGGGTTTTCTTTCACTTTCAGTGATAACAGTCACCAGGACAAATAGAGAGAGAGAATATCCCTAAGGGGGCCACAGATAGCAATAAAGGATGTGCTGGTGACCTCATTAACTTCTTCTGGTGTGCTGGTGACTTCATTATCGCTTTTAGTCCTATGGCGCCATGATCCGTTGGCCATTTCAGCACCCATTTAAGCTACTCATAAGGATACGTCAGTTTGGAGAGCGATAGGATACCTCTGAATATCTGAGAGCAATAAAAACCTGACGTGTACTAATCTCTCTCCACTCTATCCAAAGCTAAAACAAAAGGTTTTGGCTTCAGCTGCACTTTAATATTGAAGCTATTTGATTGATGGATTGCATAGATTAAAATGCATATATGTGAAGTGTTTTACCTGGCTCTGTAAGGGTTTGTAATTTGGTTCAGTCAGTCTTGCAATCCAGACTTCCCTATTATATAGCACAGCAAGATCTGTGACCAATCTGCAGACGTCACTGGGATCCATCCCAGCCTGTGATTGGACAATGAAGATGCAGCAGTGCGCAGATTCGTATATCCCTTTGTACCCCCCTCCTCTAGGCATGTTCTCAATATTTAAACTGGGACATTGGAAAGCAGTAGATCCCTGCTTGGTTGAACTATCTTTACAGGAAGAGAGATGAAATCTCCCCAATAAGAATACAGGGGGCAACAAAACCTTCCTTGCTCTACCCAAAACTAAACAAAATGTTTTGTATAAAGTTGGGTTTTAACTATAACACTTTTAACACTCCAGTTTTTATATATCATTTATAAAACCCAAAGCAAAAGGACGCATTTCTTTCATCTTTTACGTGATTATGTAAAACCGGATGCTGCTCCAGTGTTCCTGTCCGTGATTTTCAGTAATCTGCCCCACTTTGGGTATTGACTTTTGCTATTGTGTAAGAGAAATGAGAGATAATGAGACTGACATGTAGATAGTGGACTATACACACATTGGGCAACAGCATTACAAATTGTTTGGTTTTAAATAGTTGCATCACTGCAGCAGGGAAATAAAGCACACCACTCATTAGGATACTCTTTGCAAATGAAAGTGTATGTAAACTCTGATACTATATGTTTATATATACTATGTCTGGCATCATGCCTCTCTGTATACAGTTTTCTTAAGCAAAGTGTCTTACTCATAGATCCTGCCAGTAACCGTGCTTCCTGTTGCTGGCCGACAGGGCTAAGCCATTGCATCACAATTAGTAGACATGTGCGATTCGTTTCGTTCCAAATAGAAATTCGGACGAAATTTCTGAAATTCGGAGACTCGGATGTATCCGAATTACAGATATAACGAATGCAAACGAATCCGAATTTCCGATTCTGAAATGCGTTAGCGGTAAAAGTGAAATGTCCCTTTGCTGCACGAACGAACGAAAAGGAAAAGACAATTCATACAGACTACCGCTAACGAATTTCGTCCGAATCCCGAAACAAATTGGACTTTCGGACCCGAATCCCGAAACTAATTGACTTTCGTACCAGAATCCCGAAAAATTAAAAAACGCAAAATCCCAATCAAAACAAAATGAAAATAAACAACGTTTTTGCCGGTTGTCTAACAATTAGCAGCATCTCTGTCATCCTGCCATGTGAGCTTCTTCAGATGTAGTATACGGATGTGTCCCCTGCACTCCTTACAGCAGTTGGACCTGAATCGTGGTGCTTACAGTGATAGTCACGGATGGTGCTGTGTGTATCAAACTTGTAGAAGAGGATCACCAGCACTCCAGCTTCTTCAGTTGGTCATGGGGTTGCCTACCAGGTCTATCAGATGGGAGCTGCTATTGTAGACCTATTTTTTACACCATGTTCGAGGGCTATCCTTATCCTTCCTCCACTAATTAGTTAGCCATTAACACTGAAGAAGCATATATATGTGAAGTGTTAGACATTTGACATGCATATACTTATTCTAAACTTTCCAAATAAAACAAGGAAGCAGTAGCCCCTCCATATTTCTAACCCAACAGGGGTCCTCAAAGAAGAACTCCAGACAAATTACAAATTAACCCTTGTAGTGGGGCTACCCTCGCACTGCAAGGGTTAGGTGCTCATTTTGGTCTAGGGTTTAAAGTAAAAAAGATACACTCACCCTATCCTCTATCCTGCGGTGGTGACCGCTCATCCCTCTTCCTCTCTTAACCAGCTGTGGAATGACCCTTGGCATCCTCACATTCAATGCAAGTCAATGGACTTGTATTAAATGTGAGGACATCAGTGAGGCTTAGACTGCCAGAGCCTGGAGGAAAAGACTGCAGGCACTGGCCTAATACCCAGGCGAGATCTAGGATCGGGTGAGTATGACTGTTTTATTTTAGATCCTACACCAAAATGAGCACTTAACCCTTGCAGTGCAGGGGTTGCCCCAATGTAAGGGTTAATTTGTATGTTGCCCGGAGTTCTTCTTTAAAGGCATGCATCCTAAAGGGTAAATGGGATGTTATGCGTATAGGAATTGGCTTGTATGTTTGCAACTTTGCTACAAGGATACAATTCTATACTTGCAGGAGGGGCAAATTTTGATTTGATTTAGGGTCTTGGAGTCTTTCCTTACCCTTAATATGAGGATATTTCATCAGGATCAGCAGCGTGTATGACAATGTGCTGCTGGTGGTCTCCTGTCCAGCAAAAAATATGTCCAGTGAACAGGAGAGCAGGTTTGGTAGATTGTATTCTGTGTGTGGATTCTTGCTTTCCTAGAAAAAAAAGGGGGGGATAAAGGGAAACATCTGATATAGGAAACAGGGATATAGGAAACAGGGACTTTCCTTCACTGAAGTATTCCCAAGCCCACATCTTAAACCCACTTCATAATGACACGAAGAGAGAAATTTGTATAGAGAAGGGCTCA